ACTCCCCACCCCATACCTTTCTCTCACACACACACTCAATTCAATTGCACTGAGTTGGAACCAAGTCAAATGCACAACAACAGGAAAACAGTTAAATAAACTCCTAAGGCAATACAGAAAATGACAAGTATGTAGACAATCTCTGCATGTGATCATGTGTCTTTGAAATATTGTCACTCGAACAAGGCAGAGCACACAAAGCGACAGGCAGCTACTGATCACAGGTGTGTAAAAATGAGTTTCTGCAGATGAACAGGAGTGAACTTCGAAACATGAAGAGGGATTTTTTTTCTCATTACAGAATTTTCTTTCTTATAATGTTTAAAACAATAAGTTGCAATATAATGACAAATATGACCATAATGAGCAGAGAGAAGCGTGGAAAGAAGAGCATTTCCCTGCTGGAGTTGCAAGGTGGGAAGGAACGAAGGCTGGGAAGGGGTGTAGAAAGTGCAGTGGGAAGTAGGAGCCAGGCATGTCTGGGAGCCCTGCTCCAGGGGCTTCCTGGGGGCCAGCTGCTGACTATTAACTCCTGAGTGCTTCTCTAGGGACACCCTAAACATCAACTACCATGTCAATAGTGCCTCCTGGAGCTGTGCAACATGGCTCCTTCTGAGACTGAACGAAGATGAGAGGCCAGAAAGGGTTTACCCATTCTGGAGATCTGGAGGCTCTACTCTGTCACCGACTTCCACACTCCTTTTATCATTCAGCATCACTATAATTAGTCTGCACCTGAAGTGATGCCTGGCTGGCAGGAGGTAAAAGGCTTACAGAGCAAGTACAGTGCTTCTCTGGTGGGGTGCCAGGCTGGCAGGAAGAAGGCATGTGTAAAATGTACAAGCTAGACTCCCTCAGGGACTGTGCCCTGCCACCCAGACACATCAAACTCAACATGTCACAAGCTGACCCTGTATCTCAACGGCCCTTCCACAAAGACCTATGTCTCCCTTCATTCTTCCCAGCAAGATGGATGTCACACCATGGCGTGCCAGGCCCTACCCTACAGGATTCTGCTCCGGTTCAGCCATTGCTCTTTGCTGCTTTGCACCTGATGCCCCAGGTGCACTGAAACAGTGACACTTCCCATGATTCACCAAGCTGTCTCAATGGCTCGCCTTTTCTAAAGGATTCAGACTGAATCCCTTCTCTGTCTCATCCAACTGCTTATCTGTCAAGATAGCTCACAAAACATCTTCCTCTTTGACACCTTTCCTGGTCATCCCCTCAGCCCCACAGCATCTGTCCCCAGGTAGTGGTCAGTGATTCATTTTGTGTCTCAGGTCCAACATCTAGCTCTGCTCCTGGCACATCTTCAGCATTCAGTACAGTCATGCATCACTTACTGATGGCGATACATCGTGAGAACCACACAACTGGGCCATTGCATCATGGTGCAGACACCTAGAGTGTATTTACACAAATCTAGGTGGTGCAGTCCAGTACACACCAAGGCCAAGTAGTGTAGCCATTGTATCTAAGCTATCAACCTGTACAGCCCATGACTGTACAGAACACTGTAGGCAAGTGTAGCACAATCGTAAGTATTTGTGCACCTGAACATATCAAAACAGCTGTGTTTACCTCAGTACCAACAGAAACACGCAAATGACGTGTTGTACATGAAATTTACAATGGCTGCTACATCACAAGGTGATAGGAATGTTTCATCTCCACGTGGAATATCTTATGGGACCACTGTTTTATATGGTCAGTCAGTCATTGAAACACCGTTATGCAGCACACGACTGTGTATATTTTATGACTAAAAGAAGAAATGAATGAACGAGGAGGATAAATTTTTGGGTGGACAAAGAGTGAACCTGATTAACCATACCAAGCCCACGTGTGGAACCCCAGGATCACATATTTGTTGAAAGCTTTCCCCAATTCATCTCTATCTTCAGGCCACTCCTTTCTAGGGCAGAGTCCCCTGTGGTCTCCAAGCCTTTTGAAGATTTCCCACCATCACACATAACAGGTGGCACTACCCTTGGGTCCCTGCTCTTCTCAAACACTGGCCCCTGGATGCCTCTCTCTTCTGTGGGTAGACTGTGCTATTCAAGTGGATGAGCTTGCTAGCAGAGGCGCTGGAGTGGGGAGGGAAAGAGGCTGAAGACAAGTCATTTCTTGACATCCATGAGTAGCAGTCTCAGCTGGGCCATGTGGCACCATCCTAGGACTGTGGGGGCGGGGAGAAAGGGGAGCAGCATGCAGTGATTCTCATGCTGTTATGTTGTTACATTCTCTGGCTGGGTGAGCCTTTTGATCTCCAGTTCACACGTGGTTAGGGACGGCAGCCACCCATGTCCTCCACAGTGGCTAGTATCCAGGAATGCCTGGACCCTGGTCTGACATGAACACAAGAGGCCTATTTCCTCTCCAGCAAGAGGGGAGGGGGGAGGCAGACGCCTTCATATGGCCTCATGAAACTGAGCACCTTCAGTCCCCTAGGATAGCTCATCAGCCTCTGATCAGGCCCTGGGGTAAGTGCAGTCTGACCTGCAGGCTTCCTTCTAGGCCTAAACTTCTAAGTAAGGCCCTGTCTCCTCTAGCTCTCACCCTAGATCTAGATCTTATCCCCTCACCCCTCTAGATCTCATCAGCAATGGCAGTGTCACTGTGGGCCTAGATCTAGGGTGATCCTACCCCTAGCTAGGATCTAGTATGGGAGGGGGTAGTAGGGGGAACAGAGGGACAAAGGAAGTTTTAAAAACACCAAATTATCGGCACCAGTAGCTCATGCCTGTAATCTTAGCTACTTGAGTGGCAGAGATCAGGAGGATTGCAGTTCTAGGCCAGGTTGAGCAAAAAGCAAGACTCTTTCAAAAATACTCAACACAAAAAAGGGCTGACAGAGTGGCTCGAGTGGTAGAGCACCTACCTAACAAGTGTGAGGCCCTGAGTTCAAACCCCAGTGCCACAAAAGATAGAGACACGTGTGCTTGTTAATAACGATAATGTTATCTCAACTCATCTATTTTTCTACTCAAGGGACTTGGACTTTTCATCCCTGGTTTCAACAGGCTCTGCCTCTGGTCTTTAAGCAGGCAGCACTGATCCATGGACTCTAACAACAGTTTGGGCAAACCCACAAGGATGAACACTCCAAAGAGACCTGAGTGAAACAGGTCATAGCTCCTGGTCCCCAGCTGGGAGATGAAGAGAGAGGGCCCTGTGGATGAATCTGATATTCTCGCCTCCATCTCTCTGCCCCTCCTGCTACAGGAATGCCCCTGACAGGGAGATCTGAGTGCTCCAGAGTGGGCAGATGAGAGAGTCCTAATGGCTCAAGAGCAGAATCTGCATCCTTCCAGGCACTTCCGCATCGCCTTTCAAATATATTGCCTCATGAAGCTGGATAGTTGGAACAGGGGCTTCTGAGACTTCAGGGACCCCAGAAGTGACTGTTTCACACCCTCCCCAACCTGGAACATAAACAAGTTGGGGGAAAAATGTCATTTCAGACCACATTTTTCTTGACAGTGTCAACTCTATTAAAAACCTAGTGAAGCCAAGCATGGTGGTACATGTCCGTAATCCCAGCACTCAGGAGGATGAGGCAGGAGAATGGAGAGACCCAGGCCAGCCTGGCTTACAAAGTGAAACCCTGCCTAAAAAAGCCCAAAACACCCAAACAAAACACCTGGGTGAGTTCCTGAATGTAAAAGAGTGGGCTTGGTTGGAGAGGAATTTAGGAAAAGGCACTTGGAAGACTTGAATTGCACAGCACCGTGGAAAAGAATGTTCTGAGTCCACAGAGGAGGGAGGGGGAGGGGAAAGGATGAGAGGGGAGTAAGTAACAGGAGGGAACTAGATGGGCAGTGGGATTGAGAACTTTCTGGCCATTGAGAAATCCCACAGTGGGGAGACAGCCAAAATAACTTTTTCAGAACATTTCAGAAATGTGATTTAAAATTGTTTGTTGTGTGATGTAACCTCTCCCCTGTGACCCACAAACCTTCATTAAAAGTTCTGCTGCATGTTACAGCCTCATTTTTGTGGTTGCTTTGGAAGAGGGGTGGGGGTTGAAAAGAGAAGGGACTGAAGTAACAGCAAGAGCTAAAGAAACAGCCACATGACCAGAATAGTGAATAAAATTCCAGACAAGGCAGAAAACTAGAGCCAGAGGTGACCATGAAACTCTAAGTCCCCCCAGTAATTCGCAGAAATCCTGGGGAGGGCATTGGACTTTCCACAGGACATGTGAATAGGAGCCAATGTCATTTGAATCTCAAAGGACAAGCTACCTCAGCTGACACTAGGTTACAGACAGGCTTTGCAAAATATAAAATGTGTCATGTGCGTTTTTGCCTTAGCACAGGGACTGCACATAGCAGGGCTCAGGAAGAGAGTGAGTGGTCCATCGATGCCAAGGATGGATGCCCACTAGGACCTGGCAGAAGCCAATGCCCAGGACACACGGAGCAGTAAAGCCAGTCCGGCTGGGGCTTCTCACTCTGCCTCTGCTTCTCCACCCTCTGATCCATTAGCCCCATCCTAATGACCTCTTCACATCAGCGCTCTGGTCTGAAGGTCTTGTAAACAGGCAAGGCCCAGGAGGACATGCTGGTGGAGGAGGTCACAAAGGGCTGTGCAGAAATCAGAATGCTCTGAGTTTGTCCTGTTCCCTATGAAGTCAAAGAGGAAAACACTGCCCCTTGGGAAGGGGCTTCTGATCCAAAGGGTCTGGGGCAGGGATAGAGAGTGAGTGGGGTGTTTTTTCCTAGAACTGGCTGTAGAATATATCCTGTGTGGCTCTGGCCTTTGCTCCCAAGCATCACTTATGCCCCTCTGAGGCCTCGCTGGGAACCCCATAGCCTAAAGACCCTCAGATTCTGGGCATCCTTACAGGAACCATGCGCGGCTCGCAGGGCTGATGGCGCCACCTGGCGGCGGAAAGGGTACGATTCACCCTGGGAACCTCATCACCCGCGAACGGGAAGGGAGGAGGGGCGACTTCTGCGGCCCAGTCTAGCGTGGTGACGTCACGACAGGACGCCGTTTCTCCCCGCCTCCTCCCACCCCCTTCGGAGCTGCCAGTACTTGACGTGGCGTCACCGCCCTCTACCCTTACTTTGCGTGCGTGTTTGCGTGTGGCGGAGGTGGCTGCGCGGGCAGGTCGGGGCTGCGCGCTGCTGCCTCTGGTGCTGCTGTGGCCGCCGTCGCTGTCCGGCAGTCTTGGGCTAAGGAGCAGCCCAGGCGCGGGTCGGAGCACTCCAGAAGCCCACGCAGCTCCGCGCGGGGTCTGGCGGGAGGGTGGGCGAGCGCGTGTCGTAGGGCGCCGCGCGCGCGGGCGGGCGGGCGCCCGTGGAGGGAAAGAGGCGGGGGCGGCGGGTCAGCCGCGGGCCGGCCGGCCGGGGGATGTCGATGCCTGACGCGATGCCGCTGCCCGGGGTCGGGGAGGAGCTGAAACAGGCCAAGGAGATCGAGGACGCCGAGAAGTACTCTTTCATGGCCACCGTCACCAAGGCGCCCAAGAAGGTGCGGGGGCTCTGGGTGGCGGTGGGGGCCGGGCTCGGCCTCGCGGAAGGGGCGCGAGCAAGCCCGGGCTCGGGTCGTTCGAGACTTCAGGGACTAGGGTTTGGGGTGATCAGGGATGACTGAGATGATGTAGGGGGTGGTGGTGAACGACCCCTAGCCTATCCCCGGCTCAAGAGGCCGTCACTGACCTCGCTTTCTTTGTCCCTCGGCCTGAGTCTTCCCGGATCTTTTCGAAACCCTACTGGGCCAGGCCTTAAATTTGCGACTGACTTCCTGGACGAAGGACCTTGAAGAGGAAAGTGGGAGGGAGGTGAATCAACTCAGCTGACCCCTGTGACCTATCCAGGGGTGGGGGGAGGTGTACAGAAAAATCTCCCCTCAGGTGAACGGGTAAATCTGGTAGGGCTTTCTCGGGCAAATCTTTGGGATCAGTGGCCTTTTACCCAATAACTGCGTGATGGCTTAGAGGCAGGAGAAAGGAATGCATGGAACTAGCTCCTTTATGCAGGTGAAGGTGGTGAGAGCAGCTTGAGCTGGAAAAGCAAACCGTGATTTTCAGCTACTAAGGTCTTCCACTTGCTTCGAGCAAAGTATGTAAGAAACGGACATTTGGAGGTTGGTGACAACAGTCACTTGTCGTGGATGCAGGTTGATCCTAGAGTCATGTGAATAAATCACTTAGACATCCCTCCGGGAAGGAGCTTGGGTGGGTTGGAGCGGTGGGTGGGAAGGAATGATTGCTCATTCTTCTCAGCACTTACTGAGGCAGAACAAGTGTAATCTATTGTGCAGTCGATTGAGCTCAAAGGACATCCTTTTAGTTCTCTTACAAATGGCAACCTCTGGAGGTTTTAGTGCAGCTCGCTGTCTTGTGTGGTGAGACTGGTGTCCCCAGTGTTTTCACATCTTTACTTTCTACTTACTTGGCACCCAGTTAATGGAGAACCTTTGCAAAGAGGTGACCTTTGTGAAGCCAGTGAGAACTGGCACAAATATTTCCATCCTGTATAAAGACTCTGAAAGATTTCTCTGCCTACAGTGTTTGGTGGGATGTAAGGCTTGTATATGCTGAAGGTTTGCAGGAATAGTTAACAACCTTTGAGGCTCCCACACCTGAACTACTTAAGTGGGAGAGGTGGCTTGTTTTTGTAAGGGAACTAATGTGCTGCTTCAGAAATGAAATGCAAGATTGAAAAGACAAGGCACTATTGTGTGCTTTAGCTCTGTTTTCTCACAAAATTAAGATTTTATCAACAATGCATTTACAAGATTGTAGAAGATCCCTTGATCCTAAGGAGTCTGATTAACCTTATTTTGAGTGCTCTCAGTTCAGCTGACTATTAGGGCAGTAACCCTTTGTGATCTGCACTGTTCTTTATAAAAACAGTTAAAGTACTTATAAGAGGAATGCTTAACTCTCCTCAGATGAGTTAGGGGGAAAGAATGGGAAAGCCTAGAGAGCTTAATTCCCTAACTCTTCCTTTCCCCTGGCCCACCTCTTTTGTCTAGTTGCTTCAAAGTCTTAGACATCTTCATTGTTACTTGCCTTTACTTTAGTAAGCCTATATTCTTAAAAGGCCTGTACTTCTCAGCCAAAGTTTGTATTGTAGACTGGAAGCACTCAGAAAAGCATGGACTCTTGCTTACCATTGTATCTTGTGCCTGACTCTGTACCTTGCATATACTAGATACCCATCTGGCTAACCAGTAACTGAGAAGCTAAATTGCTGCCTACCAGGAATAAATACCCTTTTCCTCTCTCTTTCTCAGGAGGAATATCGCTAATGTGTATTATTGTGAGGCCAAGTGTTAATGATTTTAGAGACTCATGTTGCATTAGCTAAAAGAAGTCAGTCTGCCAGGAATGTGGGAAGACCCTGTTGTAAGTTTCTGTTTGCTGGTAAAAGTGCCCCTGTGTTATTAATCTTGTTCTCTCTGAGTTTTATTGTGCAGCATTTACGTAGCGCTTGTATTAAAGTGCTTTATGGTGACTAATTACTCCTTCCCCCAGTGATGATAAAAGGCATTTATTTAGTTAATGGACCATCTGAGGACTAGTCAAGGTCACATAGCAAGTTCTAGGTAATCTGTTTTTCAGAATTTCAGCTGAATTGGACATTATGATTTAAGTCACTTTTGTACCTCATCCATGTGTGGATAACATGAGAAAGCATGGGAAAAAACAAGAGAAAAAAAGTAGCTTGGCTTGGTACTGAATGGTGTGAGAAAAAGACCTCTTCAGATAGTGTAGTCCTTCACCCATGAGGGTTCCATCCGAGCCCTACACTAAGTAATTCTTGGCTCGTTCCTGTCCCTGGGGCCCCTCAGGAATTGAAGACCTTCCTGGTGCCAGAGGATATAGGTTACTTCAGGGTGACTTTAATGGGCTTCAGTCACATCAGATCCTAGTGTAATTCTGACCAGCTTTTTTTTACCGTGTTTACTTAAAGTAGACTGAGCGCCATCAATTAAAAGCATAGATACCTGGATGTTCAATTTTCTATGCCATGGGGTCCACCACAGTGCTATGTAGATTGTTAGCTTGACTTGAAGCTTGAGATGTCTGGCTATCCAAAAGTGAGCAGAATTGCTACCCCTTAAGTAAATAGCTCTGTACCTCAGTTTCCTCATCTGCCAAATAAGTGCCTGTTGTTTGGAACAGTTAGAGATAGGGACATGTTGGAAGTTAAACATGTTGGGGATTTGGGGGTTCCCCCCCCAGTACTGATGTTTGAACTCAGAGCCTCGCCCTTGCTAGGCAGGCACTCTACAACTTGAGCCCCATTCCCAGTCCTTTTTGCTTTATTTTTCAGGTCGGTCCTGGGCAGAGATCCTCCTACTTTTATCTCTTGAATAGCTGTGATAACAGCAGCACAGCAGCACTCCTGCCTTTTTTGTTGAGATGAGTGTCTCACTGACTTTTTGCTCAGGCTGGCCTGAACTGTAATCCTCCTGATTTCTACTTCCTTAGTGGCTGGGATTGCATGCATGAGCCAACACACCTGGCTATTTTTTTTTTAATCTATTATATTTATATTCCTTGTTTTTTTTTTTGTTGTTACTTTTTTGTTTGTTTGAGCTAGGATCTCATGAACTATTTGCCCAGGCTGGCTTCCAGCCGAGATCCTCCTTATCTCTGCCTCCTGAGTAGCTAGGATTACAGGCATCCACTGGTATCCAGCAAATTTGCATTTTTTTGGTGGCACTGGGGTTTAAAGTCAGGGCCTCATGTTTGCTGGGCAGGTGCTCTACCACTTGAGCCACTCCAACCCATATGCCCTTTTTGCAGTGGGCATTTGAGGTGGCCTATAACAGAACATAAATATGATGTAATTAGAAAGACAAAACTAGAAAAGGGGGGAGGGGGGATCTGATGAGATTGATTATCACAGGCAACTTGAAACATCCTAGTAGCCAGAGATGAAGGGAATCGCAGAAATAGTTTCCCTAGCAAGCACGGGAACACAACTTTTCCTGACACAGCATTCTAAAGGAAATTAGAGTATTTATGAGTCACATTGTAAGGCTCCTTTAGGACTTACAGTGATCACCATTGTGATCATATGGTTGAGAAAATTTGAGTTGGGAAGAGGAGTCTTTGAGTTGTAAGAGTAAGTGTACATCATACCACAGCACAACTGAAGAAGATCCATTTAATGTTGGTAGTTATTAGTCAAATCAAATAAGTCATCTAGTCCCTATAACCACTGGCTAGTTATCCTTCTTTTTCTGCTACTTGGTATTACAGGGATGGTAACTGTCCTTGGACTTTCAGAAATTGACATTGTGTCAAATTGATTCTTTTTTAATAGAATAAACCCAAATCTCCAACTTGTTGAAACCTTCTGCAATAGATATGTTTCTCTGGGATGCCCATCTCAGAACATTGACTATTCTGAACTTCTAAACATTTGCAGAGGCCTGGGCTGAGTGACACATTAAGCATTGACCTAGGATCTGTGCAGCCAGACCTTCACCAGTAGCAAAAACAGGAAGGGAGAATACAAGAAAAACTTCTCTTGCTTATAGGCTATCCTTTGACTAAAACATGTAGCACTAATTCATCAGGAGGGTTAGGAAGCACACCAAGCATAGTCCAAGGAGTGCTGCATAGGTGTTAACTTGACCACTAAAGTCCAGGATGCCCCTTTTCTCTTTGGAGTTACCTTATGGTGAATTCTCGGGTGCAGTTTTGTAAAATTCTGTTTAGGATAGCTGCTGTTTTACTGGCTGTTTTTGAACAAGAGTCAAGATGTAAGAAGTTTTTGTTTTGTTTTGTTTTGTTTTTTAAATGATACTGGGGATGGAATCCAAGATCTCAAACATTCTAGGCAAGTACTCTACCACTGAGGTACATACCCAGCTCAGATTCTCATTTTTAGATTTCTTCACAGATAGTGATTTCCTTTCTTTTTCTTGCTTGGTTTGGTTTAGTTAGTTACACTCCGGTTTCCAAATTTCTTTGTTCTAAGTTCCTCCAGGCATTTAGCTTGTAACAGAAATCTGTTCATTGTCTGGAACTTTTGCTGTTAAGAGTATAAATATGCAGATGGGCGCCATTGGCTCCATGCCTGTAGTCCTAGCTACTTGGGAGGTTGAGGTCAGCCCTGAGTTCAAAACCCAGTCCCACCAAAAAAAAAAAAAGATTGTAAGGATGTACCTTTTCTCTTATCAAGGGGATATCATTTGGATCCAGTGTGTTACCCAGTATATTCTTGTCAAGTTGATACAGAGAATCATGTGACTCCAAAGTTGCCAGTGAGTCCCAATAAGTTTATTTTGCCACCTCTAATAGTTACTGATCTGTGAACAAGCACTTTAATGCACTTTGGGGGTTAACTTGTTTCCAGCCTGAAATCTAAGTATCCAAAGTCCAAGACAGATTCTTACCACAGACTTTCTTTCCACTTGTCACCACCCTAGTATAGTAAGCTGCTAATAAAAATTCACATAGAATTTCGGTCACCTTTTCTCTTCTGATTCTAGATTTCCCTTTCACT